TAATGGGTTTTTGAAAGACCGGGATTGTAACGTTTGGGTTATTTTTCTCCTCTCGTATTTGTGTTTCGAATCTGGGACGCTCTCATCTTTTATCATTCTGGAGCGGATTCAGCTTTGACAACTTAAATTACAAAGCACCCAGTAAACTAAACCGACCTGTAAATTCAGGGAAAAGGAGACCCAAGTATTTGGAAGTTCCAGGAACCTGATTCATAATAACACCAGGTTGGGAGGGGGGGTTGGTCCAAATGAGCCCACACTTCGTGAAGGAAGTCTCTTAAACCGTTAATGAGTAGGAATAAAAAGGTTGTTGAAAGGGAGGGGGGAGAAGCGCATTTTTATGATTGTCTTCTACATAGTTTATAGCGACCGAGAAGGGCGCTAAGAAAAAGCCCATTGAGAGGCTCCAGGAAACGGAAGGAAGGAAGGAAGGAAGGAAGGAAGGAAGGAAGGAAGGAAGGAAGGAAGGAAGGACGAGCCTAATTTACGAAGAATTAATTGGCAGTGCGGGGGTGTTAAGAAAAAAGAAAAGAAAAAAAAAATCCTCCAGACCTGGTCTCTACCTTTGCATGGAGCGGGGCCCTGTGCCCCTCCTCCCGCCCGCCGCTCCCCCCCCCTGCCCCGCGAGAAGTGCAGTGGCTTGGCTGCTGAATCCTTAAGCCAGGATGCCGGCAAACAGCTCCGCTCTCCCCGGATCGCGCGGTCTGGCTACTAAGCGCCAGGAAACAACTGTGCGCGGGGGGGGGAGGAAGGGGGGGCGGCGGCGAGGTGATGTGCGCTGAAGGGCATTTTCTTTTCCGGCAAGGAAGGAAGGAAGGAAGGAAGGAAGGAAGGGAAGGGAAGGGAAGCGCTCGGGCTCCTCGCTCTTCCACCAAGGTGTCCCCCTTAACTAAGCGTTTTCTTTTGAGACAGTCTTTGGTGCCCTGGCTCCGAAATATTGAGGTGTTGCGATGGCCAGGCTGCTGCAAACCCTTCAGGAGACACATCTCACGCTGCGCGTTTCAGAAAGGGCTCCCTAGCATCACCCCTCCGCGGTAGTCGCAAGAGAGGGACGGTCTGTGGCAAATAATAGCCGGAAACGGATTGTCCCCATCCACCCAGCAATAGCTTGATCAATTCCAAGGCAGGAAAGTTAATTCGGGTGGGAACCGAACTCGATGGGCATGTCTTCAGAGGACGAATGTTTAGGATCGGGCTGTAAAATCAAAGGAACTATACAGTTCGGAAATGCCATGACAAACATCAACAACAACAATAGATATCAATAGGAAGCCTACGGGGATCTTTTTTCATACTTTAAGGACATGCGATCCTAACTGGGTTGAAGCTGAGGGCGCCAGTCCCAGGCGCAGCCTTCTGGGCAGGTCGCTCCCTCTGAACTCGCGAAGAAACGGGGGGGGGGGGGCAAAGTTAAAGGCCTCGATCCCAAGACACCCTTAAAACGGTGGCCTCGGCAGTTTGTGGTGGCATTTTGTTCCCGGTAAATAACCCCGAGAACCCACCGCCTGAGTGCTTTGCGCCAAAGATGGGCCGAAGGCGCTTTACTTCCTCTGGCTGCGGAGTTTTCCCCCTCCGCCTATAACTGAGGAGGGTCGGATCCGTGAGGGTTTGGCCCGCCGGCTCCGATCTCAGACCCCTTCCTTCCACCTTCTTACCCCGTGCTTATGAGGGCGCGGGGAGGGCAGGGGGTGGATGGGCAAGACCACTTGCTTGGCAACGGTTCAGCTGATGAGGAAGCAAAATCGAGAAGGAGAAACCTCAACCAGCCGGGAAGGAGGGAAGTTTTAAGGCTTCAGTTCCCTTTCCTGAGAGGCCGCCCGGCTGACCTCCACGGTTTCTCCCTCCCTCCCCCCCCCCCGAGCAAGCGCAGGAAGTTAGCTGGGGGGGCAAAGGAAGGGTCTCTAGAACTAGGAATGTGCCCACTGGCGTCGGAGGAAGGAAGGAAACGGACCGGCATCTGTCGCCAGAAAACTCCGAAATGTACCCTAGTTTTGGCTTTCCTTTCCGTCTGCCTTTTATTTGGACCGGCGCATCAGTAACTTAGTTACACCTTCGGCCTGCAAGTTTTCTCTCGCCTTATAAAGTGGGGAAGGGGCGGTGAATTGGGAGGACCTCTTTCTTGGTTCCTCAGAAGCCATCGCCCTCGGTTTAAAAAGAAAAAAAAAACATCCTTTCACCCTAAAGGGTGCCGGCCACCGTCTCCCGACCTCCGGAGATCTCCCAAGAGAAGCCTTGCCCTTCCTCTCTATCCCACACCCCCCATTCCTCAAGTCCCCGAACCTTGAGCAGCCTCCTAGAAGCAAGAACACCCGACCCCGTTGAATTTATTAGCACTCATTTAGAAGCAAGTGTATCTCCGGTTGCAGGAGTGTCAGGGCAGGTCGTCAAGATCGCTCACGAAATACACGCGTTTAGGGCTGGGATAAAACAAAGCCAGGAGAGAACCGGCGGCTTTCTGACGTTGCAGCCTGTACTTGAATTCGCTTATGGACGAAGGCTTCCCCATGTCTTCGCTCAATAAAGCGTAGCGCTTCCTGGGCTGGATAAGGGAAACTCGCTGGCCTTTTCCTGTTAAAAGAAGATGTACTTTGCATCATTAACTTTTTTTTATTTTTCTGCCCCTGAATAAAAAAGCAGCAGAGGTCACAGTTCAATGGGATCAATACATAGCCACCTATTATCTGAATAAGCGATCGAGAGAAATCCCTTTTTGTGTGCAGGCGAGCGCATGTGTCTAGGTGGCAGGTAAAGTCATAAAACAGGGGCTCTCACGAGAGCGAAAGGCTTGGTTTTAAAATGCTGCCTGTGTTTTTAGCAAGGGTGGGTGTTTCGACGCGTAGAGGCCCTCGCTTCGCACGTCCTCGCAATGTGGTCGCTTTTACACCTGGGCTTCGTTTCATTTCCAGACTTGATAGGGATCCCCCCCCCCCCTCCTCCTCCTTTAATGGGTGCGATTTTTCGTATGACCACTTGGGGTCGCGCTTTATGTCCGTTTGGAGCAGAGCAGCGGGAGAGGGGGGGGGAGGAGAAGAAAACGCGAGAGAGACTTAATCTCCCTTAATCGTTACAAAATGTTCAAACAAAAATACTGACGGTGACCCCCCCCCTCCCCCGAAAAAAAAAAACTCCATACAAAACGAGGTCTTCTTTGCATGCAATATAGTGGAAGGCAAGACCCCAAAAAAATAAAAATAAAAATAAAAATCGCAGCCTGTCCCCAGGAGCGAAACGCAATTCTAATTCCACCCCTTCCAGCTTTCCTTTCATCTCAGCCAGGAACTTGTACTGCCGCTTTCCTTGTTCACTTTTCAAGGAATTCCAAATTTAGGATCTGTTTTCTATCCCTCGCTCCAGCTTTTATTTTGTAGAGTCACAACTTCGTTGCGACTGACTGAACTGGGGAGGCAACTCTCCACCTCTCCGGGCGCTCAGGGGGACATCCAAAAGTATGGAGAGAATTCCAGGGTAAAACCATTCTCCTCGTCGCTTCGTTACCTCTGGGCCCGCCTTCACACACACACGTGCGAGCGGGACCCCGCTTTCACTTTATGGGAACTTTAAACTCCCGCCTCCCTTCCGAAGGAGTAAAACTGCCACATTTATTATTATTATTATTATTATTATTATTATTATTATTATTATTATTATTATTATTATTATTACCCCCTTCTTTTCCTGGGCTGTAAAATCACTCTTTGCAGGCCAGGAAGAAAAGCGACCGCATTATTAATAACAAGAATGCCAATAACCTTTCCATATAATGGGGAGGAAGTAGGGCGGTGTGTGTGTGTGTGTGTGTGTGTGTGTGTGTGTGTGTGTGTGTGTGTGTGTGTGTGTGTGTGTGTGTGTGTGTGTGTGTGTGTGTGTGTGTGTGCGCGCGCGCGCGCGCGCGTGAAAAAGAAAGCAGGGCCAAGGCACCTTTCCTAACTGCGGAGGGGAGCAACGGCCGAGCTGAGACTCGGGAAGATGAAAGCCACAAAGCACAACCAGCGCAGCTGGAACTCCGCTCCGCGGGCTTCTCCTCCAGCTGCTCGTCAGCTGACTGGCTGGGAGCTGTCACTCTCTTTCAGGAAAGGCCCCGCCCCCGGCTACCCCAGGAACTCAAGGTCCGAGCGGCGGTTGGTCGACGCGCTCTGCCGGCCCGGCCCCTTTGCCTGAGTGTCAGCGAGGGAAACAATATAAGGCACCAAGTGGGGAGGCTCGGGCGAATCACAGCTGTTCCATTCCAGCGCTGGAGGCTGCGGCTGCGAGCCGAGCGCGGAGGAGGAGGTGGTGGGGCGCCTTCCCCCCCTTTCCTTCTTCCCCTCCCTCCCCTTTCCCAGCGCGATCCTGACGGCAGCCAATCACCCACCTTTCGCCAAGCTGCCGAGCGAGCAAAAAGTTGCTCGGGAATCGCCGCCGCGGCGGGCTGAAAAAAGAGCCGGACTTACAAACAAAAGCAAGAAAGAGCCAGAGAGTTATAATTGTTTTTGAAACCCAGCGAAATATTTCCCCCCCCTCTCCCCGAAGGGGGAAGGGGGCACCGCAGCAGCACAGAAGCAGCAGCAGCAGCAGCTCAATCCGCCTCGCAGGATTTTTCTTCCTTCTGCCAACGGGTTACTGGCCAGGAAAGCAAATCGGGCAAGCTGCCTTGCCTGTTCTTCTTTTTTTTTTTTTCCTTCTTTTTTTCTCTTTTGCACAGCGCTGCGGTCTCCGTTAGAGAGAAGGCGAAAGCAGCAGCAGCAGCAGCAGCAGCAACCAGCAACCAGCAGAGCGGCCGCAGCAGCCTTGGGTGCTCGTGTCTCCCGGGTTGCTAGGCTCGGCGGCTCCCGGCCTCGGCGGCGCGCAGCAGCAGCAGCAGAAGCAGAGAAGAAAAGTTTTCTTCGGACTGGCTGGCCGCGAGAAAGCCGAGGCCCTGGCGTGAGGGCGACGAAGCGGCGAGATCCTCCTGCTTTTCCCTCCCTCTCTCTCCGTCGCCGTCTCCAGCCGGAGGGGAGGCGCTCCTACCGCTGCGCGGCGCGATGGCTGCCGAGCTGAGCATCGGCCCCGAGCTGCCCACCAGCCCCCTGGCCATGGAGTACGTCAACGACTTCGACCTGATGAAATTTGACGTGAAGAAGGAGCCGCTCGGCCGACCCGATCGCTCGGGCAGGCACTGCACGCGTCTCCAGCCGGCTGGCTCGGTGTCCTCCACCCCTATCAGCACCCCTTGCAGCTCGGTGCCCTCCTCGCCCAGCTTCAGCCCCACCGAGCAGAAGACGCACCTGGAGGACCTCTACTGGATGGCCAACAGCTACCAGCAGATGAACCCGGAGACGCTCAACCTGACGCCGGAGGACGCCGTGGAAGCCCTCATCGGGTCCCACCAAGTGCCCCAGCAGCTCCAGAGCTTCGAGAGCTTCCGGGCCGCCGCTGCCCACCACCACCACCATCCCCATCACCACCCCCACCCCCACCCCCACCACCAATACGGAGGGATCCCCCACGAAGACATGTCCGGCGCCGGCCACCCGCACCATCACCACCACCACCCGCACCATCACCAGGCCTCTCCTACGCCCTCCACTTCTTCCAGTTCATCCCAGCAGATGCAGAACGCGCACCCTCCTCACCCTTCCTCCGCCTCCTCCTCCGCCTCCTCTTCCAGCAGCGTGGAGGACCGGTTTTCCGACGACCAGCTGGTCTCCATGTCGGTGCGGGAGCTCAACAGGCACCTGAGGGGCTTCACCAAGGACGAAGTGATCCGCCTTAAGCAGAAGAGGCGGACCTTGAAGAACCGCGGCTACGCCCAGTCTTGCAGGTACAAGCGGGTCCAGCAGAAACATCACCTGGAGAACGAGAAGACCCAACTGCTTCAGCAGGTAGAACAGCTCAAGCAAGAAGTGACCCGGCTGGCCAGAGAAAGAGACGCCTACAAGCTCAAGTGCGAGAAACTGGCCAGCAATGGTTTTCGAGAGGCTGGATCCACCAGCGACAACCCGTCTTCTCCCGAGTTCTTCATGTGAGTCCTTAAAAAAACAAGACCCCTTACCTGCCCGCCCACTCACTCACCCACTCCCCACTCGTTTCCCTTCTCCCCCTCCACTGACATCTCCATCCATCTACCCTCCCGAGCAGCAGCGAGAGATTAAGGTTGAGAAAAAGTGTCAGAAGAATGACTGCGAGGCCTGGGAAGGGTGGGCTTCCTCCAGGCCGGGACTGTGGGGGAACCTCTGCAGCGGCAGCATCTTGTGGTTCTAGCTTAATTCCGAAGGGCAGAAGGGGAAGAAGGGTGCAACTTTTCCTCTTAATCGGGGCCCTCTTGATAGCCAAAGGGGGCTTTGTGGGAGGGGAGAGAGATAGGTGGGGAGGGGGAAGGAAAGGCCTGGTAAAAGTTTTTTATACAACTTAATTGCTTGCTTGTAGAACTTTATCCTGGACTTTGCAAAACAAAGGGACGGGCACCGGACAAGCCATCTAGAATACCCACTTTGGAGTTCCTATAAAACGGAAGAACACATGGCGAAGGGGGGAAGTGCATCAGTAGCCTGGAAAAGGAGCAAGGACAATATATGCAGGTTTTTCATAGATTGCCTGCTTTGAAAAAAAAGGAACAGAATTGAGATGGGACTTAACCATGTGAGCTAGTAAAATAGGAAAGGAAATTAAAGAGAGGGAGAGACAGAAGCCTCCTCAGTTTTATTGCCTGCTTGATTATATAGGAAAAAAAATACAAAAAAAATCTGCATTAAAAATATTAATCCTGCATGCTGGACATGTATGGTAACTTCTATTTTGTACCATTTTCTTGTTTAAGAATTTCGCATGTTGTTGATCATCGACCATACTTCTTTTTTTCTGTTGTACTGTTGTTTGTTTCTTTGAATAAGAAACTGTCACAAATTCTATATAAAAAAACCCTTCTTTTTACTTGCACATGCAATTGCTTGTTCTATCTCTCTATTAGCTTTATTTTTCTTTTTAAAATTTGGGAACTCAATCCACTAAGCATGTCTCCTGCGCAAGTTTCACAGAAATCAATGAGGCCACTGCGTAAGAGAACAGCTGGGGGTGGATTGGGCCCTCTGTTAGCTTGTAAATATCAGCCACACCACATAAATCTGCACAGGGCAAAACACAAGAACATTTCAGCAGGCTGGTTTTCAGTGATCATTTGTTGCAGAAATAATAACCTACAAAATTCTGGGCATTTTTGCATTCAGAAAACATCCTTGTATATTCGGTGCACTTTTAAAAGCTGTAGGTTGTGGGTTTTTTGGTTGTTTTTTTTGTTGATTTAGTTTTCATTTTGGTTTTTGTTGGGGCAGAAAGAGATTTGCCTTTCCTCTTTTAACTCCCCAATCTTAATTAAATTACTTGGAGGTCAAGTCTGCTGAAATTAAGGAGAGCTGATCTTCAGCTCTCTGTGACTAGAAAGAACCAAGTTCCTTTTTTATCCAGTTGGATTTAACTTCCAAGTAAGCTTGCTTATAAGTCACCGTTTGAAAAATTTTTTTAAAAAAAAACATTAATTGGAGAGGAATATAATTTTAAATGGCAACGATGGATAATTTCAGTGGCTGGGTCTTGCTGCAGTCCATCATTCGTGACCCAGCATCTGCGAGGGCCACCTGATTTTATCACTGGCTCAGAAAAAAAGATTTGCAATTATTTTTCTCTCTTCTCCAAAGCAACAATTGGCCGCTTGGTTTCTTAACTAAAACATGAGTCAGTTTCACTGGCTGCATCCAAGGCAGCTCATGTATTTTACAGTTAAGTTGATGCCTCTGTAAAAAAGGATGAATGAATTCAGAATGCATAGGGGAAAAAACAACTTTCCTCTTTTAAAAAAGTGGTTTTAGCTTTGCAGCTTCCAAGTTTAGCTTTTGCGATGTTTAATCTGCTTTTTCACGCAGCCAGTGAGTGTAGCCAAAACTTTTAGTAGTTTGGAAATTTATGGGTGTTTATTATAATTATTATTTCTTGTGATTTCCCCCTCCTCCTTTCCCCTCTTTTTTCCTCCTGCAGGTCAGTAAAAGGATTTTACGTTGCACTGACAAAAATACCAAAATGAAAACCTTTATTTTTTAGTTTCCTTTTAGAATTTGCTGGCACTGCTGGCCGGATGCATTTTGAGTTTGTATTAGTTTATAAATTAACAGTAATACCAAGAATCATGAAAAATGAAAAGCATGGTGCTTGCAGTTTTAAATATTGTGAATATTAATAGTCATGCATCAGAAAATACCCCTCTAAGCTTTTGGGTTTTTATGGATTCAACTGTGTTGAAATCACAGCATTGCAGCAGCAGAAAATGTTTTTATTTCATGTAAACGTTCTGAAGGGATCAATTTCAAATCCTGCTTATGATATGAAAAATATTAAAAAAAACACCTCTTGGTCTTATTGTAGTTTTATTCAGACTGGTTTCTGGTTTTTGTTTCTCTTGGTTATTAAAATTGTTTCCTATTTTTGCTTACCAATATTGACATGGCATTTTTTTAAGGGTATACTTTTCTTGAGGGTTATTCTTGAATGTGGGAAATAAGGATGCTAATGAAGGCCAATCAGGCAAATTATACAGAGTTGCAAGAAATGCAGTTCAGGGCTTGATCTATGAACTGATTAACCCTCACATTCCTGAAACACCACTGAATTCCCTGGTCTTGTTTGGAAGCAAAGATATGTGCAAACTGTATTACATGAATCATATCCCCACATATACAGGAGTTTGGTTGAAAGTTGTGGGACTGAGATTATAATCTTATGATTAAGACATAAGGCAAATCACAGGGATAAATACTTTATAATGTAGACCATGTTAATGGTAGAATACACCGAAGGGGAGTGGGTGGGTGGGGAGGCAATGACCCATAATATTCCTCTTCTTCCTAATGTTCTAGCTTCTTTACATTTGACAGGCCTTTCAATTCTAATGAGTTTTACCTGAATGCCAAGGGAAGGGTCCTTGTATTTTCACGACAGCCAGCGGTTCCACTGGAAAGGTGTTGGGCACCTGGAGGAAATGTCAACTTGACCTTGCTTGAGACGAGTGACAGAGGAAAAGGGATTCCCCCAAAGCAGGCAGAGGTATTTGTGTGCGTGGTTGTGGTGTTCATTCTTTGCCTGGAGTTGCTTCCCCTCGTTTCTACCCGCTCCCCTTCTGCTAAAGTCCATTTCTGTTTTAGGTCCCAGGTCTGCCTTCATCTGTTCTCCAATGGAGGATTCTACCTGAGCACAATATCACTCTCTAACCTCCGTCCCCACTTAACTCCCCTAACCAGCATCCCCTAACCAGCACCAGGTTTAAAATGGTCACCACACAGACTAGCTTCCCACCGAGGTCTGGGGTCAGTAGAGGCTCTGGTGTCCACTCTGAGCTCAATTGCCCAGAGCTTGAGGGGATAGTGAGACAAAGTTGCCGACAGGAGCAGGCCTGAAAGTCCTTCGAGCGCACTTTTTTTTGCGGGGCAGGTTGCATTCTTCCCAGCTTTGTTATTTTGCACTCCGACACAATAACAACCGCAATCTTGAGAAGGACTCCATAGGTGGATAAAAATGCCAACGCCTCTGGCTGACTGCGGGACCAACCACAACACCTCCTAACACCTCTGTGGAGCTGGGCGTCCTCGCAACGCCTCTTTCCTGAGCAGCGAGCTTTTCCTGGTTCTTACCTGGCTCTCCAACAGGAAGGCAGGGATTTCGGTCTCTCTGGAAGTGTCGCTTTCCCAGTTTCCCTCCCCTCCGCCGGTCGGCTTCTCCATTGAGCCGCCAGCCTCGGCGGCGGCAACTACTACAATACTAAGAGCGGGAACGGCCGAAAGGCAAGCGCTTAATTATGCTTTTCCCCTTCCCCAATTTCCCTCCGCCGAGACCCCCCCGAGATCAAACAAACCAAGCGCCAATCGGTCAGAAACCGCGACCAGCTGGAGCCGAAGCCAACCGGCGTTTCAAGCAGTTATTTCCCGCCTTTAATTTAACCCAAGAGCGGTGCCCTCTGGCTGAAAGGAAAGAGGGGGGTCCGTCCCAGCTCGCCTACTTCAGGGCCGGCGGGCAAATGTAGGACCTACCCGGTGAGTGACATCGCTCTCCCCCCCCCGCGCCCCCCAATGAGTCCCATGATTTTTGTCACCTTCTCTGACGCTTCGCCTTAGGAAAGAAACGCTGGGCACCTGAACCGCCACACAAGATTGATGCCACTACAGATCACCTGGGGTCCTTAAGATGTTCCAAATCTCCCTTAGTTTGTCGGCCACAGACTCACAGGGCTGCCTTGTTTTGCAAAAAACAAAAAACAAAAAAAAAAACCCCAAACCAAACCAAAACAACAACTTAGTTTGGGATGATCCCGGTTTACTCAGCGAGACGGCCGGTGAGAAACCAGCGCTCGGAAATCACCCGAGTTAGGCTGATCACGATTCGCCCAGACCATTTTTACTTAATCTCGGAGTCTAGTTCAACTCCCGGCGATTCCCTGGACCCCCAACTGGCAGTAGTAGGGTTGGGTTGCCCAAGAATAAGGGGGTAGCCACAGCGCTCAGCTGGGCTAGTGCAATCTGCAAGAGGTAGCGGGTGGCTGGACGCCCCCAGTGGGAGACAGGCTCTCCCTCACTTTCGATTTTTCCCCTCCAGGTTGGGGGAGAGCTCTGGGGGCAGGGGAAGGATTTTGTGAGCTGTGAAACGGGTGTGTGTGGTTGGGGGAGAAGCACACCGCCGTCCGTGTCCAACTTTAGATTCACTGAGCTCCTGCAGAGGTGGGCGCAGTTAGCAATGAGCTGCTAGAAGCCGGTTTGTGGTCAGCAGTGGTTTAGGAGAAAAAGCACGGAGGGCAAGAGCGAGGCCAGGATTAGAGAGGGAGGGAGCCCTTCTTACCCTACGGAGGAAGGCACGCACGGCCAGTCGGAAGGCCTAAGAGGAATACTGTTCGTGGGAACTGCCACCGCATATTAATGTCCTCTCATGCGTGCACTGAATACATCACAGAAGCTAATTGAGCAATCTCTTCCCCCCCCCCCGCACCGGCCCCGCTTTTTTTTTCTACCGGGGAAACTGGGCCTCAGAAAAGCACAGGAGGCCCTTTCGGCACCCGGACCGCTTTCGCGAAACTGTGTCAGCGGGTGGGAGGGCTGCAGGGCACACGAGAAGCCCCCTTTGCATCTCTGCCCTGGGCACGTTTCGATTCCTTCTCACTGCACGCCAAAATGCCGGCGAAATTGGACCATTGAGGTCAACGGCCCGTTTGCAGTGTTTCTCAACCTTGACAATTTTAAGGCATGTGGACTTCAACTCCCAGAATTCCACAGCCAGCAAAGCTGGCTGTGGAATTCTGGGAGTTGAAGTCCACATGCCTTAAAATTGTCAAGGTTGAGAAACACTGCGTTAAAGGAAAGGGAAAGCCCAAACAGGGTTATGATTATCGGGATGGAGTTGAACTCATTTGTTTGACTGCCTTGAAGGAAAGGAGCGTTCCCGCGGATCCTGTCGAAAACTGAAGCGCGCTTTGAATGAAGTCTCTTCTCCAGGTCAGGCTGGAGAAGCCAGGAATGCGGGCTTCCCCACTTGGAAGAAAAATGGTTGGGCCCTGCGATGAGGTTTTGTACCTGAACGCAGGGAGGACATAATGCGAGCAACCAAAGAAAAGCTACCCTTCTTTCGTTGGAGGGTTGTGTGAAGTCTCTGGGACCGACAGTGCTGGGCAGATGTTCACGGCTCATCCCTTGAAGTGCCCGGACTGTGTGTGTGTGTGTGTGTCTAAAGCAGGGTTTCTCAATCTGGGCAACTGGAAGATGGGCGGACTCCAACGGGACAACTGGAAGAGGGTGGAGTTGCAGCCCACCCATCTTCCAGTTGTCCAGGTTGGGAAACCCTGAATTAGAGTAAGGTTGAT